GTTCAAGGCCAGTATGAACTACCTAGGAAGACTGTTTCAAAACAAACAAAAAACACTAAAAAAAATGTAACCATTCATTAAATGTGGACTGTTTATGGATTCCCTTTTAAGAACAGAACATACTGACTACAGAATTAGATTAAATCCTTGGAACTTTCAGGCAAATTATCCATGACAGTATACACAGTAAGTACAAACTTGAGACACCAATATCAACAAAGTTTCATATATTAAAGTTAGAAATTTAGACTTGCAATTCCCTTTGGATCTTATAACTCAAGTCAAAGAAATAAGTACAACTTGTTTACTTTGAAGTCTCTCTATAATCCTATGTCTAAATGAGCCTTAAAGAATTGTTTAAGAATAACTAAGAAGGCCAGATTCTGGAAGAAAAATACACAGAGCTTATAGATGAATCGGTTTTCCTAAATTGGCTGTTTCAGTTTTGGCTGTGCTATTTCCTGAGCAAATTGGTTTCATGCAATTTGTTAAGGCTGTCAAATACTTAGTGATCTCAGTGATACACTTAACAAAAATTGGCAGATCTTTGTTATTTTTCACAATGACAAGTTCACAGAGAATTTACACAATGAGGTTAATAATAAAAGTGAATTATTTTGTCTTTTTTCTAGATTTATCATTTTGATCTGGCCACTTGTTATTTGGGAAAACAATAAATGACCTCCAAATATAATTTCCTGTCTGGTCTTTTTCATAACTGACTTGGGATTAGTTTCTTTACCACTAAGGAAGGTAAAGCTTGAGCAATCTGACCTCACCCTACTTCAGAAAAATTAAAAGATCTGGGTGTAAAGAAAAATCAATACTCAACAATGGTTTTCAAAATCAAAGATGCAGGATGTTAATCAAAAGGTAAACTTATGATTACAGCTATACATAATGCCATCCCCTTATGGCGTACAATGCCAGCCTAAAAAAATTATCTAGTATAAAAGCAAACCAATACAGCTAAGAAAACACAGCAAGGAATTTGAGGCAGCGAGGACATAGTTAAGTTCTTTAGAGCACATTCATTTATTAAAGTGGCATTGCAATCTGCTCTATGTCACACAGTATATTATTTTGCCCAAACAGCTTTACATGCAAATACTTATTGCCATGAGTCACTGATCTGGTTCAAGGTTTGGCAAAAAAAAAAAAAAATTAGTTTCAGTAAAGTCTTCAGAGAAGTTCACTTTCTTAAAGTATAAATTACATTTCTCAAAACTATATATATATGACAAGATTCAGTTCGGGATTTAGCTCAGCGGCATAAGTGCCTGCCTTGCAAGCGCGTGGTCATGAGTTCGATCCCCGGTACGGATAAAAAAGAGAAAAGAAAAAGAAAAAAAAAAGATTCAGTTCCTACTTTCAGAAATCCTAGGCCTCTCAGTCCATCAAATACACTGCCCTTTATTCACAATATGAATAACCTAGGGCAGATAAGAGAGTCCTAACAGGAAGAAAGCATCTTAATAAATATTAAAAACAACTTACATTTAATACATAATTTACTTGACATTAAAAATGTAGACAAGGCAGGTGACATTTTTATCAATACATTTTTGTAGAGTTGAAAAATTATTCATAACACATCTAAATTATAAATCATAAGAAATCTATTCTTGAATATTAACTAGAGATTAAAATCCCTAAATGAGACAAATAGAGAAGGAAACAGAAATTTTCAGGCTTTCTTTTATCAATATATTTATTTTAAAAAAGAATAAATCTTTGGTAATATACACAATCATAGTCTAACTGCATTCTTACCCTAAAGGCAAGAGCAATTCAAAGACAGTATGCCAATCTTGGTTTTTTTCCTTGACAGATTAGCATAGGTAAGGAAAGCCTTGCTGAGACTTTTCATTTAAACACAGTACATGGGCTACAAAAGTGAGCCACTCCTCCAAGTCTTAGGAGCCAGCACTCCCAAAATACTCAAAACACACAGGCTGAGAAGCTCTACAAAAGATCAAGTTAATAAATACCATGTCTCAGGGGAGTAGTCCCTGAAGTTTTCATTTGAAGCACTGGGATGTAAAAAGGGAAGCAAATAAGATTCACAAGCGCAAATGTACAGAGCCATTGAGCTCCATTACATCAGTCACTTTAGCATTAAAACTATCTGATAAAGCTCACAATGCCGAGCACTGCCATACTGTAGACCAGAGCCATGCAGCAGAAATGTTCTATATCTGTTTTCCATTGTGGTGGCCACTAAAGACATGAAGTTGCTGAGCATGAGATCTGGCCAGTGCCAGTGAGAAAATGACACTTTACTAATTTTTATGAGACTTCTAATAGTCACAAGTGACAATGGCTACAATTTGAAGAGTATAATCCTAGCCTGACCACCAAAATATAAGAAGTATTCTAAAATTTCCAGTACCTAGGTTGTCACATGGACCAGAGATTGTAAGCCACATCAATCTGGAATGGGAAGGGATGAAAACAGAGCATATCATGTCATCATGTAATGCTCTGCAGGCCATATGCACCATAGGATATACCAACCCCCACCTAGACTTTCAAACTATCCATTTAAGAAACCAACCCAAGAAGGAAAGCATTTTCTCTTCTTCATTTACTATTGCATGAAAGTTAGTATGTGAAAAAACTAGAAGAAGCAGTAAGAACTTATAGACAGAAGATTCTTTCCTAAACTCAAGAAGAAAGTCACTACAAGGCAGCTCCTTTCTTCTGACTAGTTTCTTTCACATCCTTTCTACAAATGAAGCAAGGTGTCATCCAAATTATAGTAAGACAGAATGATTAACAGCACCTGCTCTGGAGTCTTCAGATGGATGCTAAACTAATCCTCACCTCTTTGCTCACCACCTGTGAGACTTTGAGCAAAATAATCACTTCAAGCCTGTTACCTTCTACAGAAAATGGGTTAACAACAGTTCCCCTCTCACAGAGTTAGAAACAAAATAAAAAATATCTAAGGATTTAACCGAACACTTGCCAAAAAATAAACATTATTTAAGTAGTATCTATCATTATTTTAATCATTATTTTTCTTCAACATCATCCTATCTTCTTAGCAGAGTAGGTAGAAAAATAATCTACCTAGAACAAATTATATTTTAGAGTATCAATTTTAGAAATATGATATATTAAAAGGTATTTGTAATCCAAACTACTTGCCCTATGTAATGTCAATATCCTCTGGGTTTCTTTTATACTATGGTTTTATCTTCTCATTACTATATATTTAGCTCTATCTACCCAAAATCTTTAAATTCTTTGAAAAGACAGATCTTTTTCTATTTTTGTGTCCCCTGGAAATAGCTCAAAATTGTATGTCCAAAGAAAGCATTCAAAAAATGTCACTTAATTGCATATCCAGGTTTGGTGGTGCACACCTGTAATCCCAGCACCTAGAAGGCTGAGACAGATGAATCATGAGTTCAAGGGCATCCTGAGCTATATAACAACTTCAAGGCCAGCCTGGACTACATAACAACAATAACCCTGTATTAACAGCAACACCAAAATCGTAGGTAAATTTATGGAATTATATTCCAAAATAATCAAAAGTAGTTACTTTAAAATGGCTCAGTTATATCCTATATTAATTCAACAAATACTTAATAATTACTCACTAAGAAGCAGGTACTATCCTAGGAGCTGGTAATTCACCTATGAAGAGACAGGGAAAAAGGCTGATGTGCTCATTTTCTGGTAAAGGTAACAGTCACAGTGGAAAAGTAAAAGGGTGGTAGGCCGTAATGAATGCTGGGATGAAGCTAAGAGGCAGTGAGTAGCCATGGTGTGCCTTGAAGACCAAGAAAACCAGCTCAGAAAAGATGGAGAGCCACCACTCGGACAAGACATGAACTAATTTACTTTTTTTCAAAAATAGCAAGGGCCTTCGTGTGCACAGCACAGCACAGGAGCCAGTCAGGCTGCTCTTGGTGGGAGGTATCGTAAGAGATGATGCTGTCTGCATTGGAGCACAGAGATAGACAGACCTGAAAAGATACAGTATAATCAAACACATCTTGGAGATGGAGTTGACAACACTAGCTAAAGCCTGACATAAAGAGTAAGGAAAAGACAAAACAAGGATGAATCTTTCTCAATTCTCTATTTTAAAAGTGGCTGGGAAAGGACAAAAACCAGTATTTATTTACCTTGGTAACCCTTACTCCTACTACATCAGAAGCTCAATTCATGTTTACTGGCTTGACAGGGGAGGTCACAAACCACCCAAGTGAATGGCATACAGGGAGCAGCATCTCTTCTTTCACCATCTGTAGCAAGATTTACCCCTTTCTAATAAATATGGAAAAGTCTCAATTAGTGTAAAATTAATTATTTTCTCGTTGCCTTTCACAATAAACTGCATGCCCATCCATCATTTGGGCAGTACCACAAACAGTACTGAACACAGAGCAGTCACTCACTAAGCATCTGGAGGATGAACAGGTGGGTGATTGGGAAAAGTGGAAAAAGAAAAAGTGTTAGGTTTTTACCCATTTTTATCCAGCAAGATCTATAGATAAAATAAGGCTTCCTAATGCTCTATGGATTTCATTTATAACATCATATCTTTGTCAATAACTAAGATTGATTATGATGAAGTAAATATTTTATATCTTAAAAAATTTTGTTAGAAAATAACACTTTGAAATACTAATAATTTGGAGCAGTAAATCACTATTTCTAAGCGCAAATTTTTATAAGTATTTACTCCTAAATATCCAATCTTACTAATAATCCATTTAATAATTAAAGATATGAAATCAATTTCTAACACCTAATAAGAGGCTTTAGGAGTGAGATAAGAAAACAAAATCTCCAAAGCCTACAAGTAAATTCATTTGTATGCCAAACTTTTTAAAAATCCTCATAATTTCTAACATTCCCTATAAAAAGTTGAATATCCAAAAAGCAAATGATAGAGGAAAGTTGAATTTGACTATTGAGTGAACATTTTCCACTTAAAATTTTTCAATTAAAAAACCCAGAAATTAAAATGCTTTTGATACCTGAGGCACCATAAATACCAGAATACCGCTGAGACTTCGAACCAGATGGAGAGGATTCCTTCATCCGATCAATCACATTTTCTGAAAGCTGAAAAAGCAACATCAAAATAAAATCAATAGTAAAAGAGCAAGAAAGAAAAACAGTGCAATAACATCTATACGATTTAGTCTTCTACATCAATATGTATAACAAATAGCCTACAGAAAAGTGGGCTAAATCTAATAACTATAAAACCATTATGAGTCAGAGAATGGCTTTAAAAGTTTGAGATACACAACACTACTCCTTTATTTCTTCTAATGCACTGCTAATTGCTCATTATAAATAACTTTCCTCCTTGTTTTGTTGTGCACTGAATTGTAATCTAAGAGAAAATATATGCCATAAGAATTTCTTTAACTTTTCTCCCCTATTCCTACAAATGTAGTATTCTCCTTTATTCTTGTGACAGTCGTTATCACTATCAGATGTTTCTTGGTTATTGTCTAACTTTCACGTTAGAGAGAAAGTTTCAGGAAAGCAAGGAGTTGGCTGTCCTATCACCATGTCCTCGGAGCCTAAATAAGCCTGGTTAATGAAACTGTTACACAGATAGATAAAATAGCATGAATAAACAAATGGCTGCAGCGGAAAAAGGGGGCATAGTGAAAGAGAAAGTAGAGATTCATGATTTTAAAAACTCTTCATAAACTCTTCAGTCTAAAGAATATGAACTAGATCACAGGACAATCAAGCACTACTGAAAGATTAGAAGCAGGGTAATGGCATGGTAAGATTTACATTTCAGCAAGAGGACTTTGGCTAAAGTGTAAAGAACAGACTGGAAAGCGCTAAGAACAGAAGAAGGACCCCTGAAGGAGGCTAAAAGACCACTTAAGAAGCTATTAAACATATGTCCTCACCAAAACTTGCAAAGGAATGTTCATAGTGACATTATTCAAAATAGCAAGAATGTAAACAAATACCTATTTACTGGGAAAGAGATAAACAAAACATTATTATCTATGCCATACAGTTTAGCAATAAAGAATAACAGTCTGATAAAGCTACAGTGTTGATAGACCTAAAATTAAGCTAAATGAAAGTCAAACACAAAAGGCCATAAATACTGTATGATTCTGTTCATATGAAACACTCAGAAAAGCCAGCACTAGAGAAAAGGCACTGGTAAACAGTTGCCTACGCCAGGGTGGGAACAGGGATTAACCATAAATGGGTACAAGAGATCTTGCCGGGGTAATGAAAATGCTCTAAAACTGGATTGCAGTAATGCTGCACGACACAGTAAACCTAAAGGGTATGGAATCATACACCTAAAACAAGTGAATTCCATGGCATGTACATTATTCTATAATAAAGTTGTAAGGGGAGGAGCTGTTATAGTAACCCAGGAAAAAACATAAAAGATATTTAGGACTCAAAATAGCTAAAACTCACAAAGTGCTTATTAACCATTTTTGTGCCAGGCACTATACCAGAGTAATCGTTAATCTTTAACAGGATGATGAGATAAATTTTACTATCTCTACTTTGTAGGGAGGAACCTGGAAACATAGTAAACACTCCTTGCCCTGGACACACAATTTATCAGCACAGGTTTGAATCCTAAGAACTCAAGAATTCTGTTTGAAAGGCACCAACATCCCCCTTCATTACCAGAAACAAAGAGAAGGCATCAAGGACAACCCCAGGTGTCCACATCAAGGGACTGGGTGAGATTATCATCCTGAGCAGTCAAGGACCTTCTTCCAGTTTCTACTTGCTCAACTCACAACTCTCTGTCCCTTTACCAAGGACAACTGTGGACTTATTCTTGTAAGAGTTACTAGTAGCCAAATAAATAACCTGCTATCATGTTATATACTTTATTAAATTTATAAACCACCATACACAGATGGTTGTAGAAACCCCTCCTTCAACTCTTCTAACATTCCACTGTGCTGGTTCTCTAAGGACTCTAGCTAGCCATTCTTCTTTCTTTAGTAAGATTCCTCTCTACTGCCTACTCAAATGTTAAAGGGTTGTTCTTTGTCCTTATTCTGTTCTTATTCCATTTACCCTTGGCACTCTCATTCAATCCCTTGATTTTGAACTGCTCCTGATAAATTAGTAAAATCTAAATCCAGTATCCCCAGCTGCCTAAAACAGGATCTGTCAACACCTTTCTTCATTCTCTTGACTATGACTTCCCAACCCACAATGTTTAAAGAATTTATCATCCCTTATCTCCTCCCCTATTTTGTGATACCATGAATAATCCTCCTTAAAATGCAGATCTGACTATGGTAACTTCCTGCTTCAAAGCCTTCAAAAACTACCCGAAATAGTAACCCTTCATCTCTAGACCACTGTTCTCTTTACCATTAAACACATTCATTCAATCCTACCCATAATAAAAATGCATCATTCCTCTTAAAGAGATCAAATGAGCCTTCATTTTAGAATTAGATCCTAAATGTTCAGAATTTGGATTTCCATATTAATCTTTACGTATCTCATTTATTATAGTTAATATAGTACATTAAGTTATATAATATATAGTACACATATGAATTAAATGAGCTGACATATCACTTAATGTTTTATACTTCATATGCATACATATTAATCACTTAATAAAGTACATTAAATGTGACATGTAAAGCTTAAGTGATATATAAACCTCACTTAACTTATATATGGCATATATATTTAATGTACTATATTAATGTTACAATATATTATATACACACTAGATTGTGTATTAATATACCATCACATAAATTATATATAACACCCTATATACTATAACATACATGAAACTATTACATAAACAGTATCATTTCTATGAAACTAATAAAGTTAATTGAGTTTTTTATAATTCTGTATTTCTGGCCAAAGTCAAAACACTACATTAAAAATACATTCTACCTAATCAGAAAGTGAATGTCTGCCAAAAATCCAGTATTAGCTTCTAAACACTTCCATCTACTTTTCATCAAAATTCATACCTTGCTCCTATCTATGGGCACTACAAAAAGTCCTGCCAATTACCAAAATATCAGCCCTTGAGACAGTTTACAAAAACACAAAGGTAGTCCACAATAGATGATGAAGCATGGCCAACTACTAGCTAGCTATGTAACCATAGGGAAGTCACCCCAATGAGCCTTTTTTCTCACACCTGAAAATGAAAATACTTACCTCCAAAGGATATTAAGATTACACTTATATAGCATAAAGCACAACCGGCAACATAGATACTTGGTAAAGCTGTTACCCAGACAGCTCCATCCATGTGGACTTTGATTTGATTTTTATTTCTTCTTGGTTCATTCTCAATGGGCCTAAGCTTACACTGAGCTCTTTTCCTACTTGAACACTAGGCCTATAGCTAGCTATTACCTGTAACAGCCATGTAAGTCCTGCTATGTATATACACTACAAAGTGTTTACTTATCTCCATGTTCTCAGCTAATACAAGTGGAAAAGCTCTTTCAACCTATCACTAATTCTTTCTTACTAACTTCAAATCTTTTTGTGGTTTCTCTCATACTTCAAAATTTGCTAGTTAGTGTCAAACTCTAACATCAATAAAAATATTTCCCAATGCAGTCTTTGGTTATACAGACTTCTTAACATTTATAAGCATATCCTTAAGGAGGATATGATACACATATTGTAGGGTTGATACATATATCATATGGCTGCCTTGAGAGTCAATCTTCTTTTGTTCTTGCAATCATCCGACTGTATCTCTTAGGCCCTTCAAAGGAACAGCAATGGCAGTCTATAGCTGTGACCGTGTTATCAAGCACTATCACCCTGTTCTCAATCTGTCCCAAACTACGATGACCCAAGAGGATAGTTATGCTGCTTTGGTTTATATATAAAAGATCATGTTCTCTGAGATGATGTTCCAGTTACTGTAGTAAGTACAAACCTGCACACTTACCTGACCTCCTCCGGAATAGGAGCACTCATTCACTTGTAAATAACAGACAAGATTTAGAGATCCTGGCCAAAGTTATACACAAAATTTGCAGAACAACACCTCACTTTGGTGTGGTGAAAACTGACTCCCCAAAAAGGTCAAAGGTACAGTGTAAGCCTCTATAAGAACTGGCTAATAGGCCTCTGTAAAGTCTATCCCTATCTGTTGAGCTACACCTATTGAATCTTTTCCAAGTATCTCAGGACCACCTCCCTCAAGGTAAATGGCAAGTGAAATTTACAGAAATTTTATAACAAATAACAATAAAATAATCCCCAGACACACACTGATGCTAAAAATTGCATCTAGAGGTTCATAGATTAATTCAATTGTACGCAGATCTGCTTCTATCTTAGGGGACAGCACACACAGCATATAGATTCACAACAGTCTGTAACAGTGGCAAACCTATGGAACAAGCGCTACTTCTCTTTTAAGACAAAAGATGCTAATGCATGAGTTGTTTTTTTCTAAACTAAAACCTCAGTATTCAGGTTTAATTGCAGTGTGGCACTTTGCAATAAATAACTGGGTATGGGGTTGCAGTTTGGGCACTTAGTTTCTAAAACATTTGCCATCACTGCTCTATAAACTCAAAGAACACAGTTCTTGCCCAAGGGGCAATCACGGGAATCAGCCCTCACATTTATAATCCCACTACTCAGGAGACTAAGAGGAAGGCAAGCACAAATTCAGCCAAATTCAGCCAGGTAGCTTAGCAAGAACCCATTTCCAAACAAAACCAAAGGTCTAGGGAAACAGCTCAATGATGGGCTGCTTACCTAGGAGCTAGGCAATGGGTTCAACCCCCGAGGTGCAAAAACAGAGGAGCAGGCCAGCCACACTCAGCACGGACCTTGCCCATCCACCTGTTCTCTACTGTTAATAAAGATAAATTCAAGCAAGTGAAGCATGCTAAAATAATTTAAACTGGTACTATGTGCCTCACCAGTGTACTCCAGAAAAGAGAATGTCTGTCATTATCTACTCTTTCCACTCATCTCTTCCCACCTATTTTGTTTGGTGTTACTGAAAATCAGCACAAGCACACCATCCAGCAATCCAGAATCCATTTTTTTCTCAGAGACAGAAGACTGAGAAAGACATTTTTAAAAAACTATTCTACACCCAAGGAATATAAGAAAAAAAAAAAAAAAAGCTGACTCAAGGTTGCCCTTCTCTAAGAAGGCAGGAACCACATGAGACAGAGATCAGATTCCCATGCACAGAATGATTTTTCTTGCAGGTGTGTCTTATCAAGTTCATTAAAGAAACCAAGAAACCAGATCTTTTTCTCTCTCGGTCCTCTTTGGGTTTGCTTGCCAACTGTCTTCTTAAGACCTACACGCCATGTGGGAGAAATTACACCCAAATATTTATTTAAAGGGCATGGGGCCCTGGGAAAATACCAAACACACACTCAGGAAAATACATATGAAATAAGAATTCTTAGTTTATGTTGTAGTTTGCCACTTGTTTCTTGACATTTATCATTGATAGAAACCATAAAAATTCTGTCTTTTAAAAAATCTTAGCAAAGTCGGGTGTGGTGGCACATGCCTGTAATTCCAGCACTTGGGAAGTTGAGGCAGGAGGATTATTGTGAGTTAAGGCCAGCCTGAGCCACAAAATGAGTTCAGGGCTAGCCTGCACTGCAAATGAGGCCGCATTCTCAAAAAGACAAACAAAAGAAAAAAGAATTTCTAGCAAGCTTAAGATGGTACCATGCCCAAGAGTTTCTCATCATCTAAAGTTTAAAGGGACCAATCATCCATTAGTTAATATGATACAACATTCCTCAGTGCTCATAATGGCTAACTGTATTTGTAGTCTCAGCTAACATACTCCAGAATCTTCAGTTAACACCCCACATTAAGTGATTTCTTCATTTAGGGGCTGTCTCCTATCAATATCCCTGGTGCCATATCTGGCTCCTGTGAATTTCAGCTTATGACCTCGAGATCAGCTGTAGAGATTCACTGGTACCTGGATACCATGATAATAAATATTACTTTGAAAATCATACTCGTTGAAGTTGACATTTGCTCTAGTAGAGTTCACTCACAGCTTTGATGTTTCAGATAAACTTGTGAAAGATTGAGTCATAAACATACTTTAAAAGAGGACAGCAAAATCCTGTTAAGCACACGTAATGTGAGTGATAAAAATCCTTGGTCTTTCTATCACTAGAAATTTATTTTAGAAATAGAGAGGAGGCCAAAGCAAGAGGGCAGCCTTTCATCTAACCCACATGGGTAGTGTCAGATTCAAAGCTGGAAACAGGTGTGAGAACATGGGTTATTTTACAGAAGGCAGGAAAAGGTAACAGTTGATAAGGGTAAAGGAAAAAACAAGACCCTATAAATGTTATGAAAATAACACCTGATAGATGAGACAAAACTTTTAGAAACCTAAAAATGCTAAATAGGTCCTTTAATTACTAGCTAATAAGGACCTCAATAAGAAAAATATGGAAAAACATGATCTATTAATAAATTCAGCCAAGTTATGGAAATTCTTTGCTCACTAAATGTTATTCATTCTATATTAAGTTAATAACAATGTAACTCTTGAGACATTGGGGAACAACAGTTTGTCTGGAGTGACATCATTTTGGTATATTACTGTTTCTTACAGCCAATGTCCTAAATGTTAGAAAATGTATCCAAATTTGAAAGTTTTCTCCAGCCAAGTTGAATTAACCCATCTGCAATTCAAAAATGAAGTTTGAGCCTCATGAGTTCCATGCTTTAACCAACCTAAAAATGCCTTGCTTAAAAACTGAATTCCTTTGCTCAAACAATTGTTTCAAGGTAAGTAAAATACAAAGATGAACTAAAAGACATCTAAAAAAAAAAAACCTACGCAAAAATCTCACAAGCAACAGTACTCCCACTTCCCATACACACCCTATTAGCATGCACACTTGTGGGAATACAATATACTCTCATATTTATCTAGTTACTTTAAGATCATATAAGTTTATACACTCTCTTGAATAGTTCCAACAATAGCTACTACTAAGTGAAGTTTATATTCTCTTGAACAGCTCCAACAATAGCTACTAAGAAGTGCATATGCTGTCAAAATTTACTAGGCATGTGGTAGATATTTACATACATGTCAAAAGTCTCACTAGATACAATGAATAAGCAAACAATCAAAAGTGACTTGTCTGATACTACTTAGCTACTGAGAATTAAAGTTAAGATTCAAACCCAGGTCTGTTTGGTTCCAAAGCACATGCTCTTTATATTATACTACACGGCACTTTGAAAGAATCATAGAATCTTGGATGTTAAAGGAACCCTATCACAATCACTACCTTTCATTAAAAATCCACAATGACTCAGTTGTTTCATTTACCTCCCCTTCTTACCCCAACCAATCAAGGGAAATAACGGTACTCCCCTTTATGAATAAAGATACATCTTCAGAGAACTGACTCACCCAAGACCACAGACTAATACCTAAGATTTAAAGTGAAGGAGGTCTGATTAATTCCAAGTTGACACTTTTGACCATGACCTCAAATCAAAATGACCTTGAAGTACTCAACCATTCAACAGTATGCCATTTTTACAGGAAACTGCAACAGGCTGAGTACATTCTCAAGACACTTACAGTGTCACTAAGCTTACAGAATTTCAGAACTAGAAAAGCCCAGAGATCTGAGCAATGCACTCAGCTCTAGTACTTTGCAGATGAGAAAAGTGAAACTCACAGATTACATATCATCCTTGAAAAAGGATTTAAAGCAAAGAGTCAGCGTAACAGCATTCCAGCTGAAGGGTATATCCTGAATGAGTCAAAATGAGTGTAGTGTGTGTTTGAATTGTAATAATATTGATTAAACGTGGTATATGAAAATGAAGACCATTTCTGCAAAGTTGTTTGTCCAAAGGACATAATTTTTTTAAGCGTTTAAAAAAGGTTTTTAACAATCTGACCATTTTAATCAAAATGTATCTATTTTCATGTTTATACTATTTGACCTTGTATTTAATATGCATCTCCATACTGTAGCAAAATGCTCTTTCAATTTGTTTTGTTGTCTTCACTGTGTCTATACTAGAGAATGGAAACGTGAGTTTATTCACATTTTAAAATCTTGTCATCCAAAACTGACTACGCTTTTTCCAAGTCTTTTTCACCCTCAACTGTGGAATACCCAAGGTCTAAAGGCAAGATTTTGAAAATCTGCATAAAATTCAAGAGCTTATAAGACGTTTCTATTTTACTCAAAAGAGTACCAACTAAAGCATAATTCTGCAAACACTGCAGTCACAGGTAGCATTTAATTACAAAATGTAGTAAAAGCATTCATTAATATATGAAGAAATACTGGTCACAGACCAAAAACTGAATTCAGCAGTCTGAGTTTCTACAAAGAAAACTTTAATAAATTCTTCTCAAGGTAACAGTTTCAGAAGAAAAAAAAAAAGCACTTTCAACATTTATAAAGTTTATTTCCTAGTAACAAATGCTAAAAAGATTTTACACATTTAACTTATTAATGCTGGCTGTGAAATAACAGAAGAAAAATATAAAGTATTATAAAACTTTTTTAAAATCAAAAATGCTTTATTTACTAGGCTGGAGCATCATACTTTCAAAAATGTGAAGATCCAAATTCAGGTACAGCAGAGAGTGTGTTAGTGAAGTTAAAGTTGGGATACTGACACCCTAAAGAAAAGCCAATATTCAGTTTAGGTGTCAAATGCACGCAGAGGGTATAAAAATACTCTCTCAAACGTTTATAGTACTGACTATAATACTTCTACCAACTTGAAGAATTTCAAACCTGTCTCAACCACTATCAAGTTGGTAGACGGTAGGCCTGACACAGCTGGACCTAGTCCAAAATGTAGGCACAGCAGGCCACAGAGGAGGTGCCTGGGGAAAAGGGGCTATCAGATGAAAGTGAAGGAGGGTGAGGCCAAGTCACCCAGGCAGAAAAGACTGTGGGCATGTGTGCAGGGGAGGGAGGGAAGGAAGAATGTGTGTATGTCAGAAGGAGAGTATTAAATGGCATAATGCAAACAGAGGAGAGCCTTAAAACGCCAATTCACCCTGAAAGAGATAATGTTGGTGTGGCAAAGCAGAGTTTGGGTCCTGAACCGAAGATGACTAAGACAACAACCACTCTGCAGACAGGGAGAGTGGGGAATAAAAGCCACATAAAGTCCAGCAACTACTGAAGAGCCCAGACTGAGTCCAGCGAAGGGTTCAATCCAACCTGACATCCCCCAGCCGTCCCCTAGCACTTGGAACACAACCAGAAACTATCTCTGAATGAATGTCTCAAGTCTTAAAACTCCGAAGTTCTTCCCAGAGACCGAGACTTCTGGCGAGACAACACTGGAGACTCAGAAGAAAGTGACCAAGTCGAGCAGCTTCCCAGAAACGTCGAAGTGATGGGGTCCGAGTACTAGTGCTGGCCCTCTGCCCGCCCACTACACTCACCCGGATGCCCTTCACCACGGTGATGTTCTCATTCTCATCTGCCTCGAAGGTGACCCGGCGGGTGCTGGCAGTCCCGCCCATTGTTCCTGCCTGTCCCCGCAGAGTCCTGTTGCGGACCCACGAGCACGTCAGGGACCGCGCGCACACACACGCGCGTGGAGGACGGGACACTTCCCTCTCGCAGCGGGAGCAAGGCCACGACCCCAAGGAGCAAGGAGAAGGCGCCGGTCCTAATTTCCCGCCTTTTCCGGTCACGTGCTGGAAAATAATGCTTCGGGTTGGTTCAAAATTATAATCACCCGCCTCTACTCGGTAAGGGTACTCGGATTGGCTGGCCCGGACCCGGATGCTATGGCAACAGGTAGTGTTTGACAAAGTTTCCGGAGCCCCTACTTATAGTGGGAATTGTAGTCTCGACCTGGCACGATGGGCGCTAAAGTACTACAGTATTGCTTCACTCAGGGAAACGCAAAAGGAGCAGGGCATTGTGGGAGTTGTGGTCTTGACAGCCCGAAAGACTTGTAACTGGAAACTTTCAAGGAAGCTTTCATCCAACAAGAATGCTTTGAAAAATTATTCTAGAAATTTAAATTTGTGAATTCAGACATAATCCACTCATGGAATTCACAGTTTAGTTACCCCCAATGAAGCCATTCCTATATGCAAATCCTTGACACAAAATTTAGCATTGCATTATTTTAGTATGAGCTATTTTTAAAAAATCATTTGTCTATGTCCTTGAATATAGGCCACTATGTACACTATTTGTTTTATATCTTTTCGCAAAGTACAATTTTTAATATAACGGTTTTCAAAAAAAAAGAGAGAGAAAAGTTTTTGATTCAGTATTTCACCTCTACAAGACCAAAATCATTTTTAGGTTATCCATGTACATATGTATTCTTTGCTAAAACACTGTTGCACCTAAGTTTAGCCATAAGATATTAAACTTATAAAGACAAATGTAGTCACTTTAGAAATTAGATGAGTGGGGCTAGTAATATAGCTCAGTGATAGCATACATCAGGCCCTGGTTTTAAACCCCAGCACTTCAAAAAGACCAAAGAAATTTGGTGAATGATGATATTAGTTTCATGTATTAGTTTTTTTAGTGTTAGATGCAGTGGACCAAAATGTGCCACAACATCCTTTAGGCCAAAGCGATTCACAGTAGTGTAGAAACATTTTTGAGTTTCACTTTTATGCTGACGTATTACTGCAAGAATTTTTAAGGCAGAAATTAAGTCTTCTTGCTCTCTATATCCCTACTCAAAAACAAAGGTTGCTTACATTGCATCATTTTGTTCTTTTTAAACACATCAGCATCCAAATTATACTGTAATTTTGTAGTTTTGAGACCACATGCTACCTTATATTTCTCATATTATGTAATATGTATAAATCTTTCCTCTATAGGGAACTAAAAATCCCAAGGATTGTCTTTTATTTCCTTGGGAACCTTCCCCTTTTCATACATTCCCCCATACATCACATGTATTAGAAGTTTTTCATGCAACAGATACTTAGTAAATTCTTACAATTTTTCTTGCAACGGATTTCATGGAGAGAGTAGACAGATGGTAGAATCACTCATTATTCTGAGTAGTCATACTACCTTAGAATATTAGATGTATTCTTTTAATCAAGTACATTAAAAATGATAAAAGCTAAGCATGAGGAGGAAATATGATGCCTTTACTTTTTAGGACCCAAATACATATAGGTGGTCTTATTGAGCGGACAACCTAAAAATAGTTCAGACTTCTTAACCCATTTAAAACAAGAGCATTATGGAGTGAGCCAGGCATGGTGGTACACACCTGTAATCCCAGCACTGGAGAGCCTAAGGCAGAGAATCACCACAAGTTTGAGACCAGCCTGGGCTACTTAATGAATTCAAAACCTGCATGAAGTACATAGCAAGAGCCTGCTTCAAAAGACCAACAAACAAAAATTAAGAAGAACCATTCTGATTTTTTAAGGCTACATTTTATAATTCACAAAAATGTTTACTAGAACAATATTGTTCTATTCATGTTAATTTCAAGGTCAGTCATGGTGTAACTCTTTCCTGAGCTTCCCAGATTCACTGGCTTCCCTTTCTTTCTAGCTATCACTTATTAATGGTCATCCAACCCAAAAGCAGCATGCACTCACCAGAGATTTATTAGCTACAATGCAAAGCTCTGCTCAAACAGAAATAATAGCTAAACTTTCACTCAAATTTTCCCTCTCCCTTCTCTCAATCTCTAGTGTCACTTTCTGAAATTAAAGCTTGACATTTATAATGTACGAACAGATAGCAAAAATGAGAGCCGTAGTACTGCATCTGAACCATGAAGCATCATGGTAACATAAACAAAGGTGAAAGAAGATAGTTAAGAATAATAAAACACATCCACAATGGAAAGAAAAGTAAAACTCTTTGTATTCATACACAAAATGACCTTATAAATAGAAAAATCCCAAGGAATCCACTAAAAAAATTAAAGTTATTTTTGAAGAGTTGAGAAAGGTTGCATCATACAGGATCAAAATTTTAAAAAACTGTATGTCTATACAGAAACAGTTAGAAGGTCAAAAATAAAAAGAAATCAATTCCATTTGTAACAGCATCACAATACCATTAATGTCTATTGATTGGTAAATGGATAAACACAGTGAAGTATATCCAGACAATGGAATATGATTACATAGTAAAAAGAAATAAAGTACTGACATATGTTACATATAGATGAGCCTCAACATTATTCCACAACCTAAAACATTATGCCAAATGAAAGAAGTCAGACACAAAAGACTGCATATGATTCCATTTAAGTGAAATGTGCAGAACAAACAAATCTAAAGAAAGTAAAAGTAGATCAGACTTGGAAGCCCTGAGAGGGGATGAGATAGGGAGTGATTTCTAACTAGTACATTTCTTTTTGGGGGAGTGATTAAAATGTTCTAAAATTAGTTCATGCTGATGGTTGATGACTCTATAAATATACTAAAACACATTAAATTGTACACTTAAAATGGATGAACTTTATGTTATGTAAATTACATACCAATAAGGCTCGTATGGAATGTATAGTTACTCAAACAAGACAGAAATTAATTTATCATTGAATAAAATCCAAAACGATTTTTTAACAGAAAAAGAAAAGGTGGGGATGTAGATTAGTAGCACAGTAGTTGCTTAGCATACATGAACCCTGTGTTCAATCCTCAGCCCTGCAAAAAAAAAAGGAAAAAGGAAACAGTGTAAAGAAACTATGAGCATCTTTAAGCAATGAAGCAAAACCTATCAAAAGGCAGACTAGCATAAAGCAGGCCTTCAAGAATTAGCTTAGTCCCACAGATGCAGACTAGTACAATGAAGAGACACGGCTTCAGAATCTTCTAGAATTCCCTCAGCTTCTGAAGGCCTTCCTGGGCTATCATGGCTGTCTCTCTCAAAGTTTCTGGCCTTTCTGAAACTCAGTTATGCTATCATTCCTAGGTTTTAAAACACACATAGCCTCATCAAAGAACCTTCTTCAGCATATGAGCTGCTGAAGGTCAGTAACAAAAACAAAACATAATATTTTCTTCAGCTTTCACACAAGAAATAAGCACACCATATAAGATGTTGGATATGGACAGTTTCCTCTGACAGTTTTTAGCTCTATGTCAGAGGAAACCAAGATATTCCTGTGTCAGAGGAACCAGTAATAGCTTGGTTCTCCACAAATCATAGTTGAATGGCAAGCAGTATTATCCTCCCTCCAACTTCTTCATTTTGTGTCATTTCTTACTTTTCGGCCACATCAAACCTTCAGAATGAATGCTGAAAGGAGGAGGGTGGAAAGGACAACCAGGAGGAGGAGGAAAGGGGAGGCAGTGAAATTCTAATCATCGCCAAATACCCCTCCTTGAAAAACAAAACTATCTAGACTTCCAAATCAACGTAACAGAAATCCAGAAGTCCCTCATGAGAAGGTTTGTACTATATTCTCTGATTTTCAAATCCCAACTTTAAACAAAAAGTTGCTAAACCAAAATCTTGGTGACTCCTCTTCAGCCATTCCTTCATATAGTCACCCGGTTATTCTGGACAGGAGTGTAGAAAGAAAGGATGTGAAGGAGGGGAAAAGAAAGAATAATACAAGCCAGAATGTGATTGCACACATCTGTAATCCCAGTGCTCTGACAGGTTGAGGCATGAGGATCACAAGTTCAAGCCCAGCATGGGCAACTTCGCAGTTTCAAGAGACTTTGTCTCAAAATAAAGAAAAGTTGTAGCTAAGTGTGAAGGGGATCAAGCCCAGCACAAAAGATATCAGAGAGAGAGACAAGCACAGGAGAAGGCGAAGGGGAGGGAAGGAAGGAAGGAAGAAGAGGAGACCAATACATGAGACTGCGGGCAGATTTCTGATCCTGGTCCCCAGTCAGAAAAGCTAATCATTTATTGTTTATCACAATACAAGAGCCTTTTCTCTAGCTCCCCTGAGTAGCATTTCAGCTGCACAGTTCTGCACTTGGATACTAAGATCTGTGCTGGAATTGAATATAGCTACAACAATCATATTTTCTGAGCTAAAAATTGAAGCAATTGCTCTCACTATTATTTGTATACTTATAGAAACAATTAAGTTAGTCCTTAAAATCAGATTCATCCTAGAAAATCTAGGCCATATAGTTGCCATAGTTATAGAAAACCAATTAAAATCACTGAAAAATGCCTATCATATAGCACAATCAGTATGAACACATTCTGAAAATATAGACTGAGACATAGTCCATAAGACACCACAGAACATCAGCTTTAAAGCTTTTCCCACTAATTATCATACACCACATAATGTGAAAACAACAAAGTCCTAAAACAGTGTGCATATGTGTGCACCCATGGGCGCTTCTGTTACATATTTTGAATACAAGAATTTTGAGCAGCATACTTGAAGAGACTAAAAACTCAAAATAGCATATAATTAAAGGCATTTACAAGCACAGTATAAAGATGCATCTTTGGGCATGTAACAAAATATTCTTAGTAATAGCACAAAGCACTCCCCATCAAGTACCACTCATTGTTAAACACTGATCACTGCACTACTGTGTCATCCAGTAAAGTCATGAGGCAGAGACTCCCCCATGTCAGGAATCTCTCCATCTCTGTCTGGCTTCCAATTAACTGAAACTTTGCTACAAATCTCTTGTTCACAGTAAATTGTGTATGCTGTACCGTATCATCTTGTAGGGTGGGCTGTGGTGAC